CGAGTTAAATAACCCAAGAATACTGTCTTTTAACATTTTTCGTAACCCAAAAATACTTAGCAAATTTTATATTACCTTCATTGTTAACAATTAAAAATATCGTCTGTAAAATATTATTTCAATTATTGGAATGGTATAAAAACTTAAAAAATTAAAATGCGGAAATGTATGATGAATATACCTATAACGATGTTTAATTGTTAGAAAAAGAAAATTATGGTAAATTTTTCTTTTTTAATTTTCAAGTTGTTAAAAAACCACGTAGACGGGTGAAAAGAGGAGTAAATGGTAAAAAGAAAGGATAAACGGGTTTAAAAATGATAAATTGGTAAACGGGTACTAAACGGTTACGATTAAATGGATACACGGTTATTGGTATGGTTAACCGTTTATAAATGGTTATGGTTATGGGTATAACCGTTTAGACAATTACCCAACAGGTAAACGGTTATACGGGTATAAGCATAAACGGTTATGAATAAATAATCACGATTACTCGTCCGCCGTAACCGTTCCCCATCTCTAACCTTAGTTAAACTTTGCAGTGCATTATGACGTTCTTATGGTGGGGACTAATTATTAGTGTTGACAACTTGCACGTAAACAACTCTCCTAGTAAAATGGGATTGCATAGCACTAACTATAGAGAAAGTGATCAACCACCTTTCCATTTATAATTGTCTTTGTGTCACAATTTTCTGGCTGGCTAATCACAACCATTGACAATTACTTGCCCAAAAGAGTCCAATGGCCAATAAACATCATTGAAAGAGCCCTTTGTTGGTGGGTACCTAAAAGCGATAATGTCAATGACTACTCAATTTGTTTGCACTCAATACTCTCTCATTCAATCTAAACCACTTCTTATGGATGGTCCTGTCTCGTAGCCCATGCCCTTTCGTTTTTGTTGTAACATTGTGCTACAAGCTATGTTTATTCATTTTAATTCGTAATAGCTTAATCAATCTCTTTCGTTCTTATAACTTGTTTTTCTGTACACAAAAACAGTTAATTTTAGGACAAAGATTGCTCTTTAAACCTTTGAAAATAACAAATTGAAGCCGATAGGCAACAACGAAAGTGACATCGAAAGTTCAAGATTAAAATATGGTCAAGAATATGCCAATATGTCTATATTTGGAGAGAAATTTTGGTAAAGTTGTCATGTAATCGATATATAAGACAATCCACTACTAAGTTGTTACGTACATTATTGATTAAAATTATATGGGAAAAATCTTAATCAAATATAAAGAGTCATGCATGCTAAAGTAAAGCGTTACACATTCATCTCAGAAATACAATTCATTAACGAGAACCATAACCCTATCATAACCAGTTTAACTCATTCAAGGCCTTTCTTCAAAGCTTTCCTTTATACCACTTAAACAATTATATGCTTTATCGGCCTGTTCAATGTGATGAAGGGGGAAGGTGTTTGGGGTAAAAGCATGCAAGGGGAATTTTGGAACTCCATCATTGCATGCGGCATGCTAACATCCCCTAGACCAACAATTTAATCCAAATCACTTAATTATTCTCGTACGTGGGTCAACTCGTTAATTATTCCACGCACAGAAAATATATCAAGTAATAATCAACGATACAGTAACGCATACTACTAATAGAAAATTCGGGCTAGTTAAACAATGTTAGTGGTATACATGTTTAGTCTTAAATTTGTGTAGATTTCGAATTGTGGAATGCGTTGACACACCCCGATCGGAATCGAGGCATGCTGGTCGTCACGTGAGGATGACGTAGCCATGAGCACAGAGCAGAAGTGATAGCGATATGAAAAATGTGAGTAATTAAAAATCAAAACTAACTAATTTACACTAAAATAACCATAAAAGTGTGCATAGGTGTTTAAAGTAGTAATGTAAGTATTCAGAATGTAGGTAACCTAAGTGCAATCTAGCAGGCTAAGTATTAATTATACAAGACGAGAGAAATTCCCACATTTTTTTAAGTATATCAAAATCGTTGTAGAGTCCTCGTAAGCCACCAACACGAACGTCTAACTAGAATCTGGAGGGGCGTAAAACAGAAAACGTGAGTGGGCAAAAACAAAGCTTTCTAAAACCATTTCTCTTTCCAAAATAATAACCCATCACCATAAAACCTGTATAATTTCCCATAAAATAATAATACATACGTTTATAGAAATCATGCTCGAGAGTAATGAAATCCAGGTATATGCCATGTCAAATATCTCAACAATGAAATAAGTAAGCCAGGTGAAATAAATCAATGTAAAATGATATGTTAGCCGGAGTCACTTAACGTGACCTGTACGGCTGAGCCTATAGCTCATCTACTAATTCCTGCACACAAGTCGGAACCACCTAATATGGTCTGTACGACAGACTGGGTGTAAATAGATACGCTCAAGTGCTACGATCACGTGAAGGCTGTGCGAAATATCACAAGTCACCTACGAGTTGGAACCACCTAATGTGGTATGTACGACAGGCTGGCACCTGCCTTGGATCCAAGGTGAGCGTGTGGTGCGGGAGGTGAATGATCACGTGAAGGCTAGGCCCTGGCCTTGGATGGAGCACTAACACCGGGGTGCAGGATAATGAGCACTAAATGCATATGAACATAACCATACACACTGCAATCACTATCATCAATATGTACTCATTGAAGCTTACTTGTGCGTCCGCAGCGTCATGCAATAATATGCATATCTATATTAATGCATATACTAAAGCGTAATGCAATTGACATGACATTTAAAATGTAATTCCATTCAAAATAATTTCTAGGAAAATGTAAAGCATATATACGTATATATAGAAAATCAAAAACCCACTCATTGGTATGTAGCAGGGTCGTAACCCCCAAGTCTCACCTGGCTACGTTCGTCCTCCGGAAAACGTCTCACCTATATATGAAACAACTAATTTAATGTTAATTTTAAGCACATAACCAAAACTGTGTAATAACTTCTGATACGTTGCTCAATTGAGGTGTTTGAATATACCATCATGGTCTAGTCAACACCACGAACATCCCCATATTTTTAGAATAATTTTATGATTTCTTACGCACCCTCACGCGCAGGCATGTGCCTGGCATGTTAGACGGAATCTTTAACACCGATAGAGAATATTTCGTTAAATATACCTGACGCCGTTAGTATATTCCATCAAAGTTGACGGAATATTCTTCTTTCTTCTTGGTGGTTCGCCGGATTCCGGCGCCGATCGCCACTGCGTCGCCGGTTTCTAGAAAAATTTATAACTTAAATATCTCACTCAATTCTCAACCAAAATTCACGAATTTTATATGGATTTGAAGCTCTCAACAAGGAGAACAAATCCTTACCTCTTAGAGGTCCTAAAACCGACAGAACACGGTCGAAAAAATGACTTGGAGTAACCGGCTAAACCTGGAAACCCACGGTCAAGCTTATTCCAACATTCAACCTTAACCAAAACTAGTCTAAAACACTAGAGGAGTTGTGTGAATATCTTTTTGAGTCTCAAAACCACGTAAATCTTCCTTGATCACATCGAAGGAAATTGGACTCCTCGCTGGAGTTCTAGGCTCCGAAGTTCCCGTCGTTTATTCCCTCAACTATGGATATGGATAAACTCGTGGAGTCGCGAGGAAGATGATGATGACCAATTTAGGAATGATCTGTGTCAATTTGGTGGTGGTTGGAACGAAGATCCCTCGGTTGTACGGACAGGGAAGTCTTGAGAACAAGGGTGAGGGAGAAAGGATGGCACGTGTGTGTGGGTGTGAAATTGGTCACAGGTTGGCCATGAATAAAAGAAGTAAAGTCCTGATTGGGCCATGAGGTGTAGGGCTTAACTAAATAGTCCACAAAGAAGATAAAATCAACCCAAACTCCCCTATTCATTCTTAACATTTTCGTTACGAACCTGATTCGGCCCTAATTCGCGTCAGCACTCTAGTAACGACGCGTACGATTTAATTATGTCAGTGAGAAAAATAATTTAAAATTATATATGTACATCCACGTTACTAAGCCTCAAGGGCATTATCGTCACTTTACATACTTAGGGATCAAATATATACAATAAATTGGAAAAGGTCGTTACATGCGTTGTGCCTGATATTATCACTTTTTGTGTCGGATATCCTTTCAGAGACATCCGATAAAATTAAAACAAGAGAAGATATTGTCACCCTCGACCCACCTGACTGGATTCTCGAAACGGCCGGTTAAGATATGAAGCCCAGTTCAGAAAGGCCCACAAAATTTTAAGGAATTTAAACTTGCTAAACTCGGCCGATTTTAGCCCAAACAAATTATGACGTTGAAAAAATTTAACTGTCACCAGGTTACAAATTTACCATTGTTAAAGCTACGGAAAATTTTTGTCCAAAAAAAAAAAATCGTCGGTAAATTTGAACTTTGCATTGACTGCAATGCCCTCTACATCGAAGCAAAGAGAAGCGGGAGTCACGCGCGGTTAATGCTGCCATAAAGGGTCGATTATGTACTTTCACGCATTCAATCCATCATACGATGGGCCTGATCCGGGCCCACTCTCCAGCTCTTGCAACAACATCGAGATATCAAAAGCACCGCCTTTCACAAACCCGAATTTCCAAAATACCCCCACGAAACAGAAACTCAAACAAAAAACGAGGGGTATATTAGTCATCACAAAAATATTTCGCTTTCCTCTCAAACTTTTATTATTTCCCTCCAAAAAGTATTTTCAAATTTACCAAATAGTCCACCCAATTAAGGAACAAGCCCAATTGTCCGCATCTTGCACGCAATCCGTGCCGTCCGATGTGGCTAAGCACTAAAGACGCCCGCTGTCCCACAACTCTCTGCAGTTAATATTCCGCCAATCGCACATCGCCACGTAAGAGCCAGATAGAATATTTATATAAATCACTTTCTCGGTTTTTGTTTTGTACCAAAAAACTGCTGCTGTGGAGCTTTCGCGGGCATTTGCATCAATTTCAAATCTGAGTAAAACCCTAGCGGCCCCATTTTCCCTCTCTCTCTCTCTCTCTCTCTCTCTCTCTCTCTCTCTCTCCCCCCACCGCCTCTGTGTTTGCTCTTCTACCTATTAGTTATTTATTTATTTATTTTTATTTTTGGATTATCTCCCAAATTCTGTGGCTACGATGCTCTGGTTTTCGCTTTGAATTTTTTGTGGAAGGTTTGTAATTTCTTTAATTTTTTGCTAATTTTATGATTTTGTTGTGGATTGGACGAGCTAGGGGATATGGTCTGTTCGAATTTGGATAATCTAGGGTTTCTGACGAGTTTTCGGTTTATGATTTTGGTTTTCAGGTATTGCAATTGGAAAAGGGATGGAGTTGATCTCCAACCCTAGAAAGGTAGAGCTTGTACAGATTTTGATATTTTGTATGCAATTTTTTGTGGGGGGTTTGTCAGATTTATTTTTGTTTTAATACCGCTGCTAAGATTGATTTTTTTTTTTCTTTCAGATTTGATTGCTTATGGCTGCTTACGTTTTTTATTGAATTGGGAAATTGTAGATTTATTTATTGGGGGAAAATTGGGGATTTTGTGCAAAATAATTTTGGGCTGAAATAAAAAGAAGGGAAGATGGGGAAAGTGTCTCCAAAGGAGAGGAATTCGAAGAACCCGAAACAGAAGAAGCGGCGGGGTTCCGGCAACAAGTATCTGAAACCTGGTGCTCTTGCCCAGCTTAAGTACAACAAGGTGTCTTCAGCCAAGTCTTGTACTGATCTGGGGTGGAAAAGGGTGGCTGTCTTTGAGAGCAAGAAGGTTGAGGGCGATATGGTGATTGAAGATAAGGCTATCGATAAAAGCCCTTTGATGTTGTCCCCTGTGAATTTGGTTAGACAGAATAGTTTGTTGAAAACTCCAAAGACTCCTCGAGTTGAAGCTTGCGAGTCGGAGTCCCGGCTTGAGTCCCTTCCCATGGATTTGCTGGTATTGTTTACTATTTCTCACTCTTTTTCACTATTTCAGTGTTCAGTTTTTACTATGTTCATTATGTTTTTGTTTGTGGTATATATGCAGATTTAGCGTCATTTGTGATTGTATAAATGTGTTCTATGCTTGATTTAAATGATTTATCTTTGTAAATGTGACGTGCCACTAATATTTTCTGAAACTCTGGCTGTCAGAGAAGATGGTTGTTTTATGATTTATTTGTGTTTACTTGGGCTGATCATTTCTTTCTTGTACCTGTTTTCAATTTTGATATCTGATTCAGCAAGACGATCAATGAACATAGACAATATAGCATAGTAAGTTGAAGCATTTAACTTTAGCATGTGGTTTCTCAATAATTTTTTGTTTGTGTTCTAGTTTTTAGATGAATTGAGATCTGTAGTGTTTCTATGTTTCTTTTTATGTTAGTGTTGATATTTTTTGCACAAAGAATTGATTACTTTTGATACTGATTAGGTTGGCAAAATTGCTTTAAAATGTATAACGATACAGTTCAAGGATGCAGAGGAGGTCTGATAGAAATGTTAGGTCTTGGATCTACCACAATACTGTAAAGTACAAGTTATCATCTCCTTTTATGCCTTCTTGAGAGATGTTTTACTCCTTTCTTTTTTCATATTTTGAGGCGTATTTTGGAACCGAATGTGTGCAGCATTTCTGTTTCAACGTAAAACTGGATCTTTAGTTTGATACATGCTACGTGTTGAGATAAACTAAAGACATTGCATGACTACTGTCTATGTTATGGTTGAGGATGTGTAACTGTTTAGTTCTTACATGCGCTCACAGACATGGGTTTGGAATCTGGATCTTCTCAATTTTATTTATCTATGTACTTGTACTGATTCCTGTTTTTGCGATTCAAGGTTAAATTATTGTGTCACTTGCACCACGACCAACTGAAGTCGGTTTTTCACGTTTCTCAGCGAGTTAGAAAAGCTGTAAGCCCATCTCTATCTCTATCTCTATCTCTATCTCCATGTACGTATATGCATATGAACACATTCATACATTTTGTTTGATTTTGGTTTGAAGATAAATGACCTTCTATGTTTATACTATTGGAAACAGGTTGTAATTGCAAGGCAGTTCTACTTTAATTACACAACTCCAGATCGCTCCAGACAGGAGATGTTGAATACAATGACACCCCATCCCGCAGAGCACTGGCCTTTTCTAAAGTTTGTATTCTAAACTATGTTTTGTCACTGTTTATTCCGTCCAATGTGTTTCTTCTTTTTCTGAGTTTTACATGGTTTTTGCAGCAAGGGAGATGGGAAAGGTACATGGATTCGGAGCCCCCATACTCCAAAAGCACCAAAGCATGGTCCCCGGCCACCATCCCGCCTCAAAGTCTCAGAAATGAGGCAGGTTGCAGCAGTTCTCTTCCAGGAGTCAAATTTCCATTCAAGATGCATGATGCCATCTGCCTTACCAAAGCCCCTGTGCAAAAATCGAGTTCTGTTCTACGAGGACGAGCTATGTCAGGCTGTTGCTCAGAACAAACTTCTTTGAACTGGTTGGCTTGTGTTTCTATATGTATATATAGTTTCTTTCTCGTATCTATAGGTGGTGTGATCAGGGTAGGGAGTATGCAATTTTGTAGAGTTTGCTGGGGGCGGTTTAGGATACATGGAACCTCATGTTTGAATTAGGAGGCAAAAGAATTCAGATTATGGTTGTGCGAATAATAGTTTCTAAACTGGTCACTTGTATATTTCGTATAATATGTTTCGGAACAACGGCTAGTTGTATTCCGAGCGATATCGTTTCTATTTTATGCAAAATCTGATTTCTCTGCAAAGAGCTTCATTATTTCTCTTACGTTTTATGAACATCTGGATGCTCCAAAATCTGTAAATCTGAAGAAAACACCGTAAGCATGCTCATTTCTTGGGAAACAACATATACAAGTACAAAATTTAACACGAAACATTGGATTTATTACTGTCATTACAAGCTTCAACAAAAGAAAATTCAAAGAACTTAGCGAAGAAGGCTTTGGTGTATTTAACACAATACGTTGAAATGAAGGAAAACTTATTTATTGATATCCCCGATAAGCTACAAATATGTACATATACATGAGTCAAAATAAACAAACAAGATGGAGCCTTCACAAAGGTTGCTTAGGAGAAGTCTCAGCAGTCGATAGAGCCCCAGAAAGAGAAGGCATCGGAGGGGGATCATTCGGAGCCTCAGTACTGGACAGAACCCTAGAAGGAGGAGGCATCAGAGGTTGATCATTTGGAGCTTCATTACGCGGTACAGCCCCAGAAGACGAAGGCAATAAATGCATTTGGAACAAACCCACAAATCTCTGATGATCAAATAAAACCTGACCATCAGTTTCCTTCATCTGGTCAAGCTTCCTCTTCATGTTTGTAGCATAGTCATGTGCGAGCCGGTGCAACTGTTTATTCTCATGCTTGAGCCCTCTAATCTCCTGTTTGAGACTCATCACTTCGGCCGCTAATGATTCAACTTGGCGGGTTCGAGCAAATAGGCGTTGGGCCATATTAGACACAGAACCTGCACACTGAACACTGAGAGCCAGTGAATCCTTAACAGCTAACTCATCAGATCGTTTGGAAAGTAGTCTGTTATCTTTGGGAGTGAGAAGGTTCCTGGCCACCACCGCAGCGGTCATATCATTCTTCATCACGGAATCCCCAACGGTAAGAGGGACCAGTAGGGGAGACGAAGGATGGGCGCCATATATGTTGTCTGGAGAAGGCGGGGCTGCTCTTCAACAAGGTTCAAGTCAAAACGACGGTCGGAGGGGCCAGACATTTTTCAAAGGTATTGAAGAGAGAAGAGGTCGGACAAATCAAGATCTTAGAAGTGCAAGAAGAATGGAGCTTCTACTGGTGGAGATTCAAGTGTGCTTTGGAACTTAATGCCAGCCCCTATAAAAAGCTGCACTCGACGGAGCTTCAGACATCGAAGAGGCGCCTGCTCAGAAATCGAAGAGGCGTTTGCTTTCTCAAAAGCTTGGGCTGCTTAGAGACCACGAGGGTTGTTGATCTCAAAAGTTGGGCTCTGACCTTCGATCTCAGAAATCGAAGAGGCGCTCGCTTCCTCAAAAGCTAGGCTCCTCAGAGACCACGAGGGCCGAAGAAAGAAGAGGACTTTTCCAGCCTTGTCAGCACCTGTCACACGCACACTCAGCTTTGCGGAAATTATGGGTATTCTGTCGAAGACTTCTGGGGAAGTAGAAAACACATGAATCTTACTGTCCAATCACCCACTTCCCACACGCAGCAATAGCTCATGGGTACCACAGATAACTTTGCCAAAGTTCTCTGCCAAAGTTGAGCACGTGAAGCTTGCAGCTCCCACACTACATCGCTCTGACCAAGAAGGGTAAAAGAATAGCAAAGAAACAGCACTAACAAAGTTTAGACCCATAAATTTTGAAGGTCTAGCTACCATATTATTACCCACAAGGGTAAAGGAACAGTACCACTGTTGGATAATTGGAAAGTCCCTGTGTGTCAACCTCTGTGCCTCGTGGCAAGGTAGACTAGCAAACATGCCCAACCTTTACTCACATTCGAGAAAACACTCCCAATAAGATTGCTTGCTCCAAAATCGAAGAGGCACCGTCCTCCGAATCTCGAGAGCCAGACTCCCAACATGAATACTTTCTCAAAAATCGAAGAGTAAAGGAACAGTACCATTGCTGGATAATTGGAAAGTCCCTGTGTGTCAACCTCTGTGCTTCGTGGCAAGGTAGACTAGCAAACATGCCCAACCTTTACTCACATTCGAGAAAACACTCCCAACAAGATTGCTTGCTCTAAAATCGAAAGAGGCACCGCCCGCCCTCCGAATCTCGAGAGCCAGACTCCCAACATGATTACTTCTCTCAAAAATCGAAGAGACACTGCTCCCCGAATCTCGAGAGCCAGACCCCCAGCATGATTGCTTTCTCAAAAATCGAAGAGGCGCTCGCTTTCTCAAAAGCTGGGCTGCTCAGAGACCACGAGGGCCGATCTCAGAAATCAAAGAGGCACCTTCTTTTCTAGCCTTGTCAGCACCTGTCACACGCACACTCAGCTTTGCGGAAATTATGGGCATTCTGTCGAAGACTTCTGGTGAAGTAGAAAGCATATGAATCTTACTGTTCAATCACCCACTTCCCACACGCAACAATAGCTCATGGGTACCACAGATAACTTTGTCAAAGTCTCTACCAAAGTTGAGCACGTGAAGCTTGCAGCTCCCACTACATCGCTCTGACCAAGAAAGGTAAAAGAATAGCAAAGAAACAGCACTAACAAAGTTTAGACACATAAATTTTGAAGGTCTAGCTACCATATTATTACCCACAAGGGTAAAGGAACAGTACCACTGTTGGATAATTGGAAAGTCCCTGTGTGTCAACCTCCGTGCTTCGTGGCAAGGTAGACTAGCAAACATGCCCAACCTTTACTCACATCCGAGAAAACACTCCCAACAAGATTGCTTACTCCAAAATCGAAGAGGCACCGCCTTCCGAATCTCAAGAGCCAGACTCCCAACATGATTACTTTCTCAAAAATCGAAGAGACACTGCTCCCCGAATCTCGAGAGCCAGACCCCCACCATGATTGCTTTCTCAAAAATCGAAGAAGCATCGTTCTCCGAATCTCGAGAGCCAGATACCACATACCACTTTTTCAAAGTGCTCTGACAGAGTTAAAACATGTGAAGCTGGCAGCTCCCACTACCGTGCTATGACCAAGCAGGGTAAAGGAATAGCATTACTACTTGTTGTTAGGGAGACTCCTATATATGTCGACCTCCATCCCCAACGGACAGGCAGACCTGCAAAAATGCTCAACCCTTCCTCATATCTGAGAGGACACTCCCAACGAAGCCTTTCGAAATATTCAGCTTTCTTTCCCCCCGATAATACCTCTGCAAACAAGCTATACTAGAGCAAGAATATCTCATATCATCAGGGTTAAAAGCAAGAGTATCCCATATCATGCTTTTTCCCTGTCTTTTCCTTTGACCTTGTTTTTACCTGCAAGACAAGGAGAAAGAGAGCAATCAGTCAGCACTTGAAATCAAGCTCCCAGCCAGGAACTGACAGCCTGGAACCCCTTACCTGATTACGTACCTGGCATTGCTCTCGAGTACTCATCTTCAACATCTTATGTTGCCAGGGAAGATACCGCATCTGCTTGAGGAACAGATAGGGCAAGTGCGAAGGATACAAGGAAGCATGTGGAGACAAGCGTAACAGCACACACGTGCCGATCCATCCATTACTTTGTCAAAAGCAAAAGTATCCCATATCAGCAGGGTCGAACGTACTCTAGATTTGATGGACTTGTTTTTGACCCTCAAATTCTTCAGTCGGCCTTATACTCTGGAGGAAACCAGAAAACCCTCCAGCTCAGTTCAAGAATAAGCCTGTGGAAAGTTACTTCTTCAAAAGCAAAAGTATCCCATATCATCTCTTCTCATTTTTCTTCTCTTTATCCTTCATGCTGCTGCAAGATGGGGAGAAGGTGAACAATCAACCGGAGCTCTGATTGCTTACCTTGTCTGTCACCTCTTTCAGCAAATCCCCTAGCTCGGCGACTTGGGGGACTCCTACTACATGGTTTGTATCGCGCTTGACCAAGCCTGAAACTACAAGTAAGCTTCAAGTGAAATTGATACATTACCTTGTGCATCTCCAACAGTTAAAGATACCACCCCTGGATGGAGGAAGAGTACTTCCAGAGAAGCTGCCACATCTACCTATGAGACAGATAAGGCAAGTCGATACCACACTCCGATACTTAGAAGTTTCGTGATTACGAGATCATTCTCCCACAATATTTCCTAATGTCATTTGTACTCTAATGTCATTTGTACTAAATCATTCACTTGTACTCACTAAAGGAGAGCTTGAACCTATGTACTTGTGTAAACCCTTCACAATTAATGAGAACTCTTCTATTCCGTGGACGTAGCCAATCTGGATGAACCACGTACATCTTGTGTTTGCTTTCCTATCTCTATCCATTTATATACTTATCCACACTAATGACCGGAGCAATTTAGCGAAGATCACAAAAAGCGACCGTTTTCGCTACCTAGGATCTATCTTACAAGAGAACGGAGAATTAGATGGAGATCTCAACCATAGAATACGAGCTGGATGGATGAAGTGTAAGAGTGCATCCAGCATGTTGTGTGACCGTCGTAGGCCACTGAAGCTCAAGGGAAAATTTTATAAGACGGCAATAAGGCCAGCGATGTTGAATGGCACAGAATGTCGGGCGGTGAAACATCAACACGTACACAAAATGGGTGTAGCAGAGATGAGGATGCTTCGTGGGATGTGTGGGCACACGAGAAAGGATAAGATTGAGAATGAGGATATCCGAGGTAAAGTAGGAGTAGCCGAAATTGAAGGAAAGATGAGAGAAAATCGGTTCCGGTGATTTGGACATGTGCAAAGAACGCCGACTGACGCTCCGGTTCGAAGATGTGACTACGGGACAGAGGTTCAGGGCCGAAGGGGTAGAGGAAGACCTAGGAAAACTTTGGAAGAGACTCTAAGAAAAGGCTTAGAGTACTTGGATCTAACGGAGGACATGACACAAAACCGAGCGCAATGGCGTTCTAGGATTCATATAGCCGACCCCACTTAGTGGGAAAAGGCTTTGTTGTTGTTGTTGTTGTTGTGGAAACCACGTATGCGAAGATATGGAAAATGCACCAGCTTTTCATATATTCTACAAAAACTCAAAAGTGGTTATCATTTACACAGCAACGTTGGAAGTCACAAGTACTTCTTGTATCATAATACTTCCTTTT